TTTTTTAGCATACATGGAATCAGCGTGATGATCGCATTTTCACTTATTAGAGCCTATAATTGCTTCCTTTGTGCGTGTTCTCTTGTTTTTCTCTTCACTGGCTTTCTCATTAGAATTTACTAGTCAACTAAATCCATTGACCAAGGGTAAAGCGTCTAACAATGTAATTTACATTACCATTATTTTTACCACTTACTATATTACTGATTCATAATCAAATACTGTACCCTATTTACACTTTCGCCGTCGAATTACATATCTAGATTAGTAGAGCCCATCTTTTAGTCTCCTGAAATAGAATAATGGTCACGTTAAATGCTACAGAATATTAGACATTCTATGGGCATAGCTAAGCTATAATGCAACATGATAAAACTCTATTCGCATACATCAACATTCATAGTTCCACGGTCTTTTGGGATTCAAAATTTACATATTTTGATTAATGCGTTATTACCTCAAGAAATTATGATGCGAATTTGTATTATTATTGATTTATCTGCAAATACAATTTTACATCGACATTTTCTTTGGACATTTGCATGAACTTTTATTCCCCTTCAATTCATACATGATCGTTATCTTGCTCTAGAACGCAGAATCCTTTAGACTGTCTGGGCGTGTTCGTGAACTGGAGGAGGAACGTGCTCGACTCCACTCTAATACTAGTCAATGCGCTAGCCAACTCGATCGAATTAAAAAGAGTCTCTTTGAGAACCGCGAACGCGTTGAAACCCTTGAGTCGGAGAATGCGGCGTTACGCAAGGTAATCATCTTGAATGAAGAGTATCATATTATTTTTATTGTTTTTAGGTATTAGTAAAATATGGTCTTCTTCATGGTCATAAGAGTTTCTAATTCTACCTTTCTCTTACATGAAGATTAAGAATTTACCTTTAGGCCGTTCCCCAGTGGTTCCCTCAAACCTTTGAATTTCCATTTTCGTCTTTTAATCGTTTGCATTCATTTTTTACATCTTGCTTTTACTATTCAAGTGGCTGATGACCAGCTTATTCTTAAAGGATTTGTATTCTCTTAACTGCGCACATCCTCCTTCTCTCAGCTTACTATTGTTAAATTTATGTGTACTATATTTTTCGGAAATAATTAAGTGCTAGCTTAGTCGAGATACCTTCTCGTCAAATTAGATCGTTATCATTGGTGTAAACAAATTTTTATTGTCTGGTGCTACGAAAACTACTGTATTTATACCTAATATTAATGTGTTTTCTTTGTTGTTACGCAGAAAATCATGAAAATCAGGCGCTTTAAACTACATTAACTATCTTTCCTGCTTTTGCATTTGAATTCGCACACTTA